GTGTGATTATAATTAAAATTTGATAAAATTTTGATCAAACAAGCAATAAAAGTATAATCAAATAATCTATCTACTAGAAAATGAGAAAATAAGTATAAGTCAAGATTTGGGTGAATAAAGACAAGCACGTAGCTGTAAAGTAATAGTCTAGGTTAAAGGGTTCTTTTAACATATTTTGATTTTTTTAATTGCTTTTGTCCACAAGATATTCCCATCTCTTTTTCACACACACCAATTTTCAAGAGTCGGTACCCACCTACAGTTTCGGAAAGGATTAGATTGTCTTACAAGGAATATTGAATTTTCCAACTTATTTTCACCTTAGAAAAGTAGAAAGTTACATGAGAATTAAGTTCTTTCTCATCTAACAAGGAAATATGAGAATAAGTATTTGTAAAGTAGAATAATTTTTCCTTTTAAACATTAAATAAAAAGTAAAGAATAAAAAAAAATCATTCGTGTCATCATTTTCAGATATTTAGTGGCAACTTCTTTTCAATCCTTTTTCGACTAATGAATTATTTAATTGAAGGATAATTGAAGTAGCGGTCTCAACTCAAATATTTTTTTTGCCGACTTTACTTTAATTTTCAATTTGTGCAACTCACGGTTCCAAATCTTTCAAATAGTTGTATTAGAACGACGAAATAACATAAATCATCAGTTCATCCATTAGTTGACCTAAAAAAATAAGAAAATGAAATTTTTGACCAATTAAAACATGGGCATTTCGTCACTTTCAATTTTGAAGGTGGAGGAAAAGTCTACGAGAAAAAAAAAAAGAAATTGAGACCACTACTGTAATGATTCTTTTAATGTATGAATGTAACAAAAATGACAGTCTTCTTCTATAATTCCATCTGTGACGAGAATAAAATATTGAATAGTAATGTAAAGTATCATATAAAAAACATGGATCAATATTGAATCTTTAAATTTGGGCAACCGTATTATTTGAGTACACGTAAAAGTTATAAAAAGAAGTGAAAGGATTCGAATCATCACAGCGCATGTAATTTTATTTCATAATCTTATGATCATTGGTGTTTACTTTTGAAATATGCTTCTTGATCAAAACAAGAAGTGGTGAGGGATAAGTCTGAAAATCACCAAAAGATGAGCAAAGAAAACAAGGTATCTTCTGATTTGTCGACTACTTACCTTCCTATTTTAATTTCATCAAGATTTCTCTCATCATCGATTAATAAAAATACAATGGGAAATATATCAAGATTTCTCTCATCAAGTAATTTGGGTCAATCCCTTAGTTTCTACATTGGCTCCTCCAATTTTAAAAACTTATTTCGGAAGGAAAAAAATTGTACGGGTACGGGTACGAGTACGAAGGAAAAAATATATATAAAAATATTATTTCAGAAAATTGTACTATTGATTTTTACATTTATTATTCAATTAACAATATTATAAAAAACGTAAAGCGTAACTAGGCGTGGAAGTGAAACTTCAAGTTTTTCGAGCTTAAGCGAACCTATGAGAGACTTATGCGTAAAAAAGTGTTTTCTTATTTTTAATATTATTTTAATTTTTTAATCATTTTAAAAATCATTTAATAATTAAAATAATAAATATCAAACATTTAAAGTTATAAAATATTATATTTATTAAATAATTCATACAATTAGTCAATTATACAATTTTCAAGTTTTCAAAATGTAAAAATTAGAATATTTTTCATAGGTTCAATTTTCAACCAAACAATGTCTACTTAATAAATTTATAGGAATTTAATATATACTTTTGAAGTTTGCAATAAAATAACGAATATCAAGATCATAATTACATAATATAGATAGTACCATAACTTAAATCGAATTTAACTATTTAGATAAATTTATTTTTAACTTTTGTACAGATAAAATCTTTTAAAA